CAATTTCATTATAGAATTATAATGAAATTTACCTTTATTTTTTTTCTCCAAATTTTTTCTCAATCTGTTTTTACTTGAACATAAATTCGGCAACTTTGTATCACGTTCAACAAATAATATTGCTGTACCTACGTAATGTAAATGTAATATTTCCGGATTAGTGTAATATGAATATTTCTCAAGTAAAATAAAAAAATATAATAATATTCAAAGTACTCTGTCTATTTTCTCTTTAAAATAAATCACACTTTTTTCTTTCATGTTTTCCTACTGCATTATACAAGTTTTGAATAATTTTAACATAAAATTGATTAAATTGTAACGAATAAAAAAATCCTCAGACAGTACAAATTTTCAAGGAATATCTTGAGAATGTTTTGGAGACATATTTAAAATGTAGAATGTCCTCTGGACATCTTTCAAATATCTCGTGCAGATCTGCACTGTCTGGGTCATTACTTATATCTTACCTGATGATAATTCTTGACGATTGCTATTATGAACTATATCTTCAATTTGGTTTATTTCTTCATATTCTAATTAAATTAAAGTAATATTAGTACATAAGAGATTGTTAAAAAGAAAATTTGATTATGATAAGGCAACAAAAGATCTTAAAAAATATCTGAAAGACATCCAGAGGACTTCCAAATGTCTCCAAAAATGTCTTAGGCTGGTATTCATAGTCGGATTTTATATTTAAGGCTGTCTTTAATTCATCTTCAGATGCTGTATGGATCATTTAATTGGCTACACAGTATCTGAACTTAAGACAGTCTTCAATATAAGATCCGACTATGAATACCAGCCTTAGGCCTCGTTCCACAACTTGCTTTAAACGGAGTTTAAAGCTAAACCGATGGTTACAAGCAATAGTATATGCGCATATACTATTGCTTTTAACCATCGGTTTAGTTTTAAACTCCGTTTAAAGCAAGTTATGGAACTGGGCCTTAGACATTTCTTGAAGATTTAGTGCTATGTGTGCAGATTAATAAGTTAATTTTTACCATTTAATATAAATTCGGAAGCATTTGTAACATCAATCCTTTCATGTTGTACAATATTAATTGGTTCTGTAAACAAATTAAATATTATTAATTAAATATTATTTTTTTAAGAATTATTATATTTAAGAAAATATATAGCTTTATATTCACTATAACAGCGTTTTTTATTGGGTATAATAGTATAATTTATTTATCATTTGTTTATAAAAAAAATTGATTTCTGTTAGTACATTTTAATAATTTTTCAATATACATGGTAATAATAAAGTAGGCACAGCATCATTGCTTAATTTCTTTGGAAATTTATATCTTTCCTCAAAATGGTTCTCACAAATTGTTCTGCTGGCTATTTTTTTCTCTGCTATTTTTAATAATTTTTCATCTCCGCATGCCAATAACCATTTTAAAAACTTATTTTTATTTTTGGTAGGCTTTGGAAAGGTAAACATTCGTTTACCTGTCCCATTACAATGCAATACTGCACATTTTTTATGACTCATGTTGCTAAAAAAATATTTAATATTACAAATTATTAAATATTTGAAATTTAAATCTGACTCTATGGGCTGTATTCATAGTCGGATCTTATATTTAAGACCGTCTGAAGTTCACGTTCAGATACTTTGTACCCAATGGATCCCAAGGTACCAAATGATCTATGCAGCATGAAAATGCAGCTGAAAATGAACTTAATACGATCTTAAATATAAGAGCGGACTATTAATACAGCTATGACTCGTAACTTTTTAGGACATAGTAATGATTGGAAAAAGATTTGTTTATAAAATCTAAATTTATAACTCATTTTTCGCGAATCTACTAGATCACTTTACGATAATACGTGTACGACTTACGTCTTACTGAAACAGAATTATATTTGTAGAACACACTAATTGCGTATTTGCCGATTTTGTTAGTATACCTTTTTGTATATTTATAACCTTTTTACCTATATAATAATTGACAAGTCAACTTCATATAAGAAAGTGAATTATGAGTGGAAACTTCATATAACATTTGATATCGATACTAACGCCCTCAGTAGATACGGGGCAGAAATACAGTGTCCTCGTAAATCCTATCTGAGTTTGTCTGCCCTGATAGTACATACATATAGTACATACATTATTCACATACATATATACATATAGTATATATATTATTTGTCATAATATACACATTTTTCTATTCATATTATAAAATAACAATTTAATGGGTTTTGCAATTATAGACATGGAAAGATTGGAAAACAAATGTTTTGAAAAGAGAAACGAAACAGAGAAACTATAGTTTAGGAACAGGTCGAGGCTCACCGATAAAGATTTTTTTCTCTTTCCTAGAAGAAGATGATCCAATAACGCAAACACAAGATCAACTTGCGGAGGCATTAAACATGACTCGCTAAGGTATTTCCAAACGTTTACATGCCATGGGAAAAATTCAAAAGGAAGGAAAATGGGTGCCGCATGAGTTGACTGAGAGACAGATGGAAAATCGAAGAGCCATTTCCGAAATTTTGCTTTTGCGGCATGAAAGAAAGAGTTTCCTGCATTGAATTGTTACTGGCGATAAGAAGTGGATATATTTCGAGAATCCTAAACGCAAAAAATCTGGCTTTCACCTGGCGAAACATCAACATAGACGGCACGGCCAAATCGCTTTGGAAAGAAGACAATGCTCTGCGTTTGGTGAGACCAGAAAGGAATCGTGTACTATGAGCTGCTGAAATCAAGCAAAACTGTCAATGGGCATCGCTACCGACAACAACTGATCAATTTGAACCATGCATTGCTCGAAAAACGGCCAGAATGGGACACGAGATACAAACGAGTGATATTGCAGCACGACACGCTCCGTGCCATCGCACTTCCATCATCCAGGACACGATCAAAACGCTGAAATGGGATCTGCTGCCGCATCCGCCGTATTCGCCAAACCTGGCCACTTCCGATTATCACTTGTTCCGGTCGATGGCGCATGGCTTGACTGAGCAACACTTGGCCAATTTCGAAGAAATGCAAAATTGGTTGTATGAATGGTTTCGGTCCTAAGACGCGTCGTTTTATCGCCGCGATATTCATGTATTGCCAGAGAGATGGCAAAAATGTGTAGCTAGCGAGGGCGATACTTTGAATAAACCATTTTTTGCATTTCTCTTGAAATTTTCCATTTTTCATTGATCAAAAAACCCGGAAACTTAGTTGCGCACCTAGTATACATATATATATATATGTTTATATTTTTGTTTTTTCTTTTTAATGATAATCCAACCTACTAAATACCAACTATCAGTAATACAACATTAATGTTACAATGTCTCGGGTAACAATGTAACTATTACATAACACCACATTATGTAACAGTTACAATGTTATTCAGGACATTATAACATTGATGTTATATTATTAATATTTAGTGCTTATTAGGAAATTATTTTCAACAGCAGTAAAGTAAATCCGTTACCTGCTCATTCTAAAACATAAGTGAAAATTTGTTATTAAATAATAGTAATTTAAAAATTTAGTATGACAGTTAATATTTATTTTTGCTTTTACTTTCTTTTTCAATTTTAACAGTGTTTTGAACTTACAGCTATTTCAATTGTGATATAAATATGATATTTTTATGTTATGTTAAAAAGATTACAAATAAGTTTTTTTGTTACTTTATATACATTTATATATATATATATATATATTGTTGTGTCCGAGCCTCAAAGTTTGTGACGGCGTCCGTTGTCCGTGAGCCTTAGGCATCTGATTTTGACAACTGAACAAAGATTGTCTAGACGACGGAAAATCGATAAGAAGAAAACAACAGCTGACAGAGAGTCTCCGGCAAGCTGTCATCGTAGATAGACGCAAGAATTGTAGATCAGAGAATTATTCTTGTTTAAAGCTTGAGCGAGTTGCGCTATAAATAGTAAAGCTTGTTATTCTTACGCGAGTGTTTTCATTTACCTGAGTGCAAGCGCGAGTGCGAGAGTGAGCGCAACAATATATACAGGGTGTTTGATAGCTGATCATGCAGACGAAAGTTGGAGATAGATTGGGTGTAGCCGAGAAGAAAAGTCATGTACCATAATGTCAAATTGCCAATAGTTATCGAGTTATTAATTAAAACATGTGAGCCAACGAGCGCGTAGAGAGCGGAGGGCGACCGCAGTAAGCACGTAGACATTTGATTATGGCACGCCGTTTTACTTTTTAATGGCATAAAAGAAATTGAACATAATGTAAATGTTCCAAATAAAAATTGGCAACAGAAAAATTGTTTCAGTCTTTTGAAATATTATTATGTCACGACATAATAATAATTCGGCAAATTATAATTATGTCGGGACGTAATAATAATTCCAAATTTCTATTATGTCCCGACATAATTTTAATTCATGGAATTACTGTTATGCAAAAGCATAAATTTAATACGTTGAATTAAAATTATATAAGTACATAATAAGAATGTACAAAAATAATTATTATTATATTATGACATAATATTAATTCCGTTATTCTTATTATGTCGTGACATAATATTAATTCCGAGTATTCTTATTATGTCGGGACATAATAATTCCGAATTTCCATTATGTACCTAATGGTAATTCTGAATTTTCATTATGTACGCAATAGAAATTCGGAATTATTATTATGTCCCGACATAATAAGAATACCGGAATTAATATTATGTCACAACATAATAATAATTCCGGCATTCTTATTATGTCGTGACATAATACTAATTCCGGTATTCTTATTATGTCGGGACATAATAATAATTCCGAATTTCCATTATATATACATAATGCTAATTGTGAATTTTTATTATGTCCCGACATAAGAATACCGGAATTAATATTATGTCACGACATAATAAGAATACCGGAATTAAAATTATATTACGACATAATAATAATTCCGATTTTCTATTATGTACATATTTTTAATTCTAATGCTAAGATATGCGTTAGGTTGGCAATACTACAAGTACGTATATTAAGCTTGCTATGTAGGCGGCGCCATGGTGCGTGTTATCCAGCGGCTCAAGCGTGACATCTCTCATCAGCAGGGTTGGGTAATATGCGCGGCAGGGAGGTATTATGCACAATTCTGCGCATAATACGCATAAAATGCAGAAAACGCGCAGAATACGCAGAAAACATGCAGAAAACGCAGAAAACGCAGAAAACCCATGTGATGCCCATTCTAAGGGCGAATTCACACCTTGGAAGAAAAGCGGAAAGCAGAAAGGCAGCAGTCAATGGGTGCGTTCAACGAACTCAATAATTGCACAACAGTTAAGGAATTCATCGACGTAATTAGTCTAGATTTCGAGATCTAAGGACCAATAATCGCTAATTGTTCACTGAGCGCTTTTTTCGCTGAACGCGCCCAATCAGAACTCGCGCTGGTTTCTGCTTTCTTTTACTATATTACCAACGCGAGTTCTGATTGGCTGCTGCCTTTCTGCTTTCCGCTTTTCTGCCAAAATGTGAATCCGCCCTAACTCTACAATCCTATTTACCGCGCGTGAATTAGATTCATTACCATATCCAGATATCATCTGAATATAGAAAGAAATTAAAAAATGGGAGACAGCGAAGAACTATATTCCCAATTTCATGTTTTTCATGATCATGGGCAAATGTTTGTGCTTTATCTCATATGCCAAACGGTTATAAAAAGTGATGGTGAGAGGTTACAGAAGCATAGGTTTGTATATATCCTGTATATAATTATATTATATTTAAAATTGTATTATATTTTTATTGTAGGGGAGACCGAGGCTGGTTGATACAATTTTTTTCTGTGATTGTTTTACACGAAACTAACAAATGGAATACAAAAACATGTAGCCTGAAATAACTTACTGCAACATCACCGCAATGTTTTTGCGAAAATACTATATTTTTATGCACTATTATCTTTTGTCGTTTTGCAGTAATGTTAAATATAACAACGTGCCCCGTGTATCATTTAATGTTAAATATAACAACGTGCCCCGTGTATCCCGGTCTCCCCTATTTTTACATTTCAAAACTATTTGAATCATCTCTTATGTTTAGTTATATTTAAACCAAAAAATATATGAAATATTTTAACTTTCAGGATGGTTTGTAATGATAATAAACAAACAAGTAATAATAAGGTTAAAAAACGGAAAGTCACCAAGAGCAATACAACTAATGTAAGTCAACTCATGTATTTCAAATTAGGCTTTAACTACAATCTAAATATTAAATTTCAAATGAAATATTTTATGCCTTTTTGTAGATGCACTCATCACTCAACGATACAGCCCAGACTGCGTCGGATAATGTGCAAAAATCTTTTAACGACGGCCTCAATACTATTGATGAAGCATTGGCCAAATTTTTTTTCGGTTATAATATATCGTTTTCTGTCGTAGAATCGGTACATTTAAAAAATTTTATATCTATTTTAAATCCGACTTATAAACTGCCGACAAGGAAAACTTTATCTACAAGTATCTTGGATAAATTTCATACAAAGATGATTGCCGCTAGAAAAGAGTCTTTGAAGAATACAGAATCTATACTTTTAATTGATGGCTGGAAAAATTCCTCCGCCAATACAAAAAATATTGTTTGCGTCTAAGTATATATAGCAATACCAATATACATTTGCCTGCAACAACATCATATTCGCCTAATAATTTCTTATTGCCTAATAATTCATTTTCATTTTTACCATCGATGCTGCTATAACTTCTTTTTTTCCCAAGATCATTTTCATTAATGTCATTGCTGTTCGTTGAACACTTTACCCTATATAAAAGTAACAGTGCTATTTAAAATGCTATTCAATAAATGCACTAAAACATCTTAAGCAGTTAGATTATTATTATGAAAAGAAAATAAGAGAAAAGATACTTATTGAATTTATTCTGTATAACTTAAAGTTTTGATTTATGTTAAGATTTATTAGTGTTTCTGTGCCATAACAGTTCACAATATGGTAATTTATTAATAAATAATGGAATTACCTTGACTATTGTACGTACCGATGAGTTTTCAGGTGTTTTACTGCAGTAGTGCACAACCTTGTATTGCATAATTTGCAAATTGCAAAATATTTTCCATTTTCTCTGACCCTGATAAATTCACCTTCAATATAATAATCATGAGAAGGTCTTCCTCCTGTATTTGACATTTTCACTAAAAAATAATAACAAACATGCTGTTTTTTACAGAATTTTAACAGAGTTGTACTTCATGCATTTTTTCTTATAGACTAGTTAGAAGTGGATATACAATTTTCACGTAAAATCCAACCTTTGAATCTTTTGAATCCAATTTAAAATTGATCTTAGAACTTGCAGTAAATTCATGAACTTATCGCTAAAGGAAATAAAGCTATACTAACCTTAAAGGAGGTTTTCTGCATAAGAGGAGTTTTATGCAGCAGAAAACCTCGCTCAGTTTTCTGCGCAGAATACTCGAGTTTTCTGCGCATACAACTCTGCGCATAAAACATGAGGTATTATGCGTATCCAACCCTGCTTATCAGTGGTATATGTTGCCTGCGTACCTTTTCCGCGTATTCGCGTGTAACTTTACCTTATGAAATATTGCAACGATGTAGTGTCGTATGTATGTGAAATCTTGTTGCTACTAAATATAAATACTGCAAGAGAAAATGGCCGACGAGAGAGAGATATCAAATCGTTTACTAACAATAGCAGCCAATGCGTCGAATTAACGCCAGAAGAAACAAATTTCTCATCCCTGGTGGCAGCTACTCGAAGAAATTTTAGAAGAACCAGTACTTCTTCGTGTAAAGGATGTAAGAGAAAGAGATCATTCAGGAAAAAAGTTGTTTTAATGAAACTTGCACATGCCGATTTTTTTCCATCTAATATAGAATTAAGGTTTTTAAAACAGAGAGGATTAAGTATAAGGTAAACGTACCAATGGCTGGACATTTAAGACGATATTTGTATTCTAATCTAATTTTCACCGATATGCGTCGATCGTTTTGGGGAATGACGGTGATCAATCTCAAGGTTAGAGTCTCTAGTTTTCGAAACCCATCCATTAAATTCTTTTGCGATAGTTTGAAACATATTTATTAACAAAAACGTTGGGAGAAAAAAATGTACCAGTTACTGGACAGCTATTTATCGGTGTGTCCCGATGTCCGGACATCAGATGTACGTATGGCTGGACGCCGATGAATAGTAATAACATCTGCATGAAAAGAGCTATTACACTTACGTATGTGCTAGTTTTTATACTTTATACTTTTTTATACTCATATTATTTTATTAAACGAGTGATAATGATAATATATCGACTGCTAAGAGTCAGAAAGGTGTATTCCGTAACATTTAATGCGAGGGTTGCGTCTTTTTTATTCTTACCAGCCAATATGATGAAAAACATACATATATATATTAATAATAAAATAATAAAAGATATAATGCGAAGTTCTTATCGAATATTTAATGAGTAATATGATAAACAACGTATATATATTCGTAATAAAATAATGAAAGTTCTCACACGAAGTTCTTAACGAATATTAAATGAATAATAATAGCTCATTGTTCTGTTACTCGTTGCTTCTTTTGTTTTGCTCCGGTCTTTTTCTGGCATTGCCTGTTTTCAGCTAGCTCTCTCTTTATTGCATCTATCTGCAACTGTTTTTGGGCCAGTATTCTTTTATTTTCTTCTTGGAGCTGTTTTCTTTTTTCCTGCTGAATCTTTTTTCTTCTCGTGCCTCCAGTCTTCTTCTCAGCCTTTGTTCTTTCTTCTGCAACTCGACCTGTTTTTTTTCCTGCTTCGATTGATGGTACGTCTGCCACTCGAATGTAGCGCGAATGTAGCGACGCTCGGGACTGTCTCAGTTCTTTTCGGTAGCGGTTTCTTTCTTTTGACCTCTTCGTCATCCATCCTCGATCAGACGTGCCGATGCTCCAACCTGATGGTACATTTTGTGATACACTGGCAGGTATTCTTTGATACCAATACATTACCATGGGCGGTACCATCGTGCCAGCAGCATTAACCATAAAAAGTGTCGTGAGACATTCTTTTTCGTCTGCATCAACTACTTTATATACTCCTTTCGCTCCTCTTCGTACAATTACGCGATCTGCTTTAGGGCACAACATAAACGCAGTTTCGTCGCAGTTGAATATTCTCTTCGGGTCGATATTTAACAAATTCGTTGCGGTTAGATACTCAGAAAATTCATTGAACCAATTTTTTAATTTCTGTTCGATAACTGATGCTCGATTATACGTCAAATTCTGAGCCACTCGCTCAAAAAGCTCGGGATGTCTTCGACAGAATCCTTCATACCAGTGTCGGCCCGGCCGGTTGTTGGTGAATGGGTTGTCTCGTTTCAGCTCCAATATTAATATTTTGACAGAGTCAAGAAGTTGATCTTTCGTTACGGGAAACCCTTTGTCAGAGGAATGGAATATCCACTTGACGAGTAAATCTTCTTCGTCTGGAGTCAAAATAGAAGCTGGACCCAGTGTGGCATTCATAGAATGGATATTTTTTACTTTGCTGTAGACTGTACTCTTCGGAACGCCAAAAGTTTTGCTCGCTGTCCTCAATGACATTCCTAATCGTACTGCATCCACAGCCTTTTCGACGTCAGATTGAGAATATGACGTTGATGCCACCTTCGACATGTTTTCCACAACAATAACTAAAAATAAAATTTGAGAAAATGAGGTGAAGTTTTACCAGCGAAAGGTGACTTGACGCATGCATTTTTTCAAGAATTTTTTTTTCATCAATCTAGAGGCATTGAAAACTTCATTAAGTCCTTATAAAATGTTTGTTGTTATTTTTTCATCATAACAATTATATACATGAATTTCACGTTGCGATAAATATATGAGAAATAGCGATGGAAGTGTCAACATAACCTCTTTCGAAAGATGGATAAACGAATTTGCAAATACTATACTATCCGCGCAGTGATTTTATAGTTTCGAATAATTGAAAGATACAGTATGTGTACTTACCGATAACTGTTTATACGTATAACACGGATGTAGATACTTTGTCTTATTAATTTGATGCTACGTAAACTCACACCGGCGTCAACGAAGCAATGTTGTGGTCATGTCCCGGCTTTGGGTCTCAACGACTTCGCATATACGCCCCAGTGCCTGGACACTACGTTGGACACTGGTACAAGCGTACAATCGGTCGGTCCCAATGCCGGAACACGAAAATTGTGTTGTAAAATATTATCAGATAAATTTTAACGGTCATTTCTGAAACGTTACGATTTTTTGTACATGAAAATCACATCAAAAATCGCAGAATCGGCAAAATAACGACCGTACAATGTTAAAGAGTATTCGCCATTCCTTAGCTCATCGGCTTAGAGATGTGCTTCAATGGCTGAAGCGACACGACCCTGCTGATATCTTTGATATACTAAACTAAAATTTTATAGTAAAGCATATAAAATTGTTTCCCGTATATTAATAACACACTATAGATCCCATTTCAATAGTTACATATTAATTGTTATCCACTATACTCTTAGTATCGTCAAATGTTAGCCGGAGTGTCCAGTAATTGGGTCTTGTCCAGCCATTGGTACGTTTACCTTACCGTTCCCATTTCTGACTGCAACATAACTTCTTTTCTGGTTCTCTTCTCTCTTAAGTAAAAGCAAAGCATCAATTGCTTGTATCAGTTTATTATAAGTACCTTGTGATACTTCGGTAGATATTCTCATCAACTTTGCTTTAGCCATATACAGAGGACGATATACTATATTCGCAGAACACTGATAAGATCTGACAGTGTCAGCAATTACTTGCCGAATCCTCCTCAATGTTCTTACTACATTTTGATTGCGTCGCAAGTTGATATCTACTCGAGAGTTATTCACTACACTGTCAGGCACCCTCCTCTCCTCGGCCATTTTCTCTTGCAAACAGTATATTAATATTGAGTAGCAACAAGATTTCACACACATACGATATTACATTGCAATATTACATTGCAATACTTCGTAATGTAAGGTTATACGTGGGAAAGGTACAGCAACATATACCACTGATGAGAGATGTCAAACTTGGCCCGCTAGAGATAACATAGAGACCCTTAAAATAAGAGACTGGTCAATGTCGACTAGCACGTTTGATTGGTTGGAAGGAAAATGGCGGCACTAATCAGTGAGGATCGAGCAGGCGGAATATTTGAAAGATAGAAATATGAAGAACAATAATAAAAACACATGTATATCTGTATAATATTTAGTAAATAAATATAAGAACTCTGATGATTGACTGTTTGGAACAAATATACATAATATATTGTCCACACCAAGAAGGAAGGAAGGAAATATGAGAACTATTGACAGTTATATTGAAATGTTATTTATTTTACAATATTGTACATTGCCATGGTTTTACTATTAAATACAGGTTTACTATTAAATACAGATTTATCTAGTCGTTTGGCGTGACAACTTTGTTTCACCTTAAATTTTATAAAACGCAGTTTTATTTTGTAACCTAATGCGTGACAATCTTTTAAGGTATCGCAGACAATATTATTCATTTTTGTAATGAAAAAATGAACAATATCACAATTTACCGTTTTAACATAATTCAAATATCTTTTAATAATAATATTCATTTCAAGAAAATAATAGAAGGTATTTTTGTTAACAAAAAATAATGTATTCTTTCGATAACATTTTATACTAACTAAACGTGAATATGTTATATTGGGATCATACGTCTTTGATCCAGCAGAATCAATACAATCTAGGCACACTTTGTAAGTTTTACATATACTAGTGATAATATAACCACATACATAATATAATGAATTTAATTCCAGATTATCTAATTTCATTATTTTGGTTTCAATTTCAGGTGGAATTACAAGCATTTGTGTACATTCTTTATTTACACGTTATCGCATAGGACGTTTTAAAAAGTCAGCCAACAAATCACCACTATCTTGTTTATAATTAGTGTTTGATAGGTTTTGCAAATACTGAGAAACAGTGAATATTTTTAAATTTTATTTAAACTGCAGTGCGTTCGGTGTGGGAAATTTTTTCCTAATATTTGAAAAGAGATTTTCAACAAAATCGTTAGAAAAACTCCTATTACGTATAAATGATGGCGTTCTTTAATTAAATACTCAGCTACTTCGATATAAGATTTGGTTGTTATAATAAGGCCAGTTTGTATGGGTTTGAATACACCTTGGTTTCCTACTTTCATTTCGCAAAATAAATCAATACATGATTCCAAAAATGCTATGGTTTGTGTATATGTTTCTTCTGATTTCTCATTTCCAGGTTTCTTTCTTAAAGCAAGTATTTCATCGTGCGTAGTAATCAGAGCAAACCATTTGGAAACAATTTCAATAAATCTCGCTGTAGTTAAATATTCATTTTTATGACGTTCTTCACTTAGATAATCCAAAGCATTACTTACGTGTGTACTCAACATATTATGTACTTTGTTTACTCTCATTTTGTTAAATCGCGTTAGAATAATGACTTCTTTGTTTAATTTAGGAGCTAATTTGATATCTAAATTTTCTTGTTCTTGTACCAACTCTTCCAAATGTGAAAATTTAACAACGCACGATGATAGTTTATGAGTTTGAACAAATTGGTCTGGCAATGCTATCAGTTTATTATTAATAATAGCGGCTCTGAGATTTTTAAAAGGTGTGGGCTATCAGCAAAAAAATATAACTTTCGAGTATTATTCATTGGATGAGGTACAGAATTTCGTATTGTAGAATGTCTATGCAAACCAACATTGAAAGCTCTCCACATAGCTTGATTAGTACTTCCCATATCGGATGTAATACTGTGTACTCGAAGACCTATTGATTCAGCCTTTTTAATGATTGTTTCTATAATAGGTTTTAAACGTGCACCATTAAAGCCACCAGGAGTATATTCATATGCTACCACTTGCTTCCACCGATGAAATATGCCAGCAAGCATAAATACCAAGCCATGCGTAGCTGTAGTGTTTTCTCCTTAAAAGTGTGTGAAGTAGCAAATGAAACTAAATGATCAATTATCAATTACCAATTATCATTTACCCTATATATTGTTATAAATTGAATTATGCAGGAATTACCACGACTGTTAGGAATAGTAAAATTTCCTATAAGTGAATTTGTACAAGAATCAAATTGTTCACCGGGTGTTATAGCTACTTCATCAAGGCCAAGCATGCAATCGCAATGTCTGTAGTCTGTAAACTGTCTAATTGTTTCCTTCATAGCGTCAAAAACGTCGTCTAATATTCCAGAGGAAAAATCCAAACCTTCAACAGATCTTCTTAAGGTACGCAGTGAAGGTAACGGAATATTTTCTTTAATCAACTGCGCATAACCACTACTGGTACAACAAGCTTTTATGCGAAGAGCTTTCTTAATAGTTTCCTTTGACCAACTACTAATGCGTCGCTTACTAGAATCTGATTGTAACCATCGAGTTTGATCATCGTTAAACACTTTATGTAGAATCGTTTTTTCTAGTCGCAGTTTATGCGTGCTTCTGAATTTTTTAACACGATTCATGAGAATTTTGTTCGAGTATTTCAACTTATGATCTTTTTGTAATTTCGTAAATTTTTCGTTTGCTTCTTTTACCTGTATACCTCTATCTTCTAGTTTCTGTTGTAACAAATGTATTTCTTCAACAGCACGCTCCAATGTAAACGCTGTTGTATTACATAATGATGTTGCTACACAAATATTTGTCTCATCATTTCTATTCACATTATTACTAGAAGATAATAAGATATAAATACCTGAATCATTCAGTTGATCATATGATTGAAAACTGCCAGAAAACAATACAGAATTATCTTCAAATTGACTGTTATCTGTATCAATGCTTATGGATTTTTCAATGTGTTCATTGTCGCCTTCAGTGGTTCGTAATTTCTGTACTTGTAATTCATGTTCATCGAGAAATATATTAGTTGTTTCAGGTAACTGTTTTTCATAAATAGGAAAAATAGTTGGTATGGCATCTCTTCTCAATTTTTTTGTACTATCTTGTCGAGGTTTCTCCCACATATTTGAAGCAAAATGGATCTATATGTACAATCGCAAGATACACATTTTTTTCCTATTATTTGGCCGTAGTTATGCAAGAAACAACCAACCCACATGGACTACGTTTTGAGAAAAATAAAGATAAAGATTTGACGCATGATTTATAAACTACAGATAGTATTGAAATTCTGTATAATTGTTCAAGAAATCAAGCATGGTTAAGTTTCTACTCTTTAGAGGTATACATTGGTAAGCTTAATTCTTAAACAAATTTAGTAAAAAAGACGTAATTAGGAAAAATAGTGCGACTGATAGAAAATAAAAACTGTTTTTTAATTAATTTTAGACGCCCATGGGGCTTGGATCGTTTTCCTATTACATAGAAAGACGAATGGACTACTCATTGTTAACAAAAATTCAAAAATTTTAATTTTGTGAGTTGGTTGCTTCTTATATAACTACGGCCATTTATGTATTTCATATAATTATATGCTCACTTTACAAATACATGACTTATTTGGTTGCCACTTTTCTCTTCCAATGGACTGTAACCATAACATTTTTCTTTGCGGATCTGTTGGAAAACCAATTAACATAAATCCGCCTTCGGTTCTGTTTTTACACCCCAATATGCTACAACCCGTCATTATCTGCAAACATTTTCGGTTTTAATTATGTATTTCAGATTCACATATATAAATTATAAAAGATATTTTTAATAGATTGTAGATTTATAGATTATATTTCAGTTGTATTATTTCCATTGCTTTTATTATGATATCTTATTTTGATTCACATAGTTTTAGTTTAAATTCATGCTTACCTCTATATATTACATATTACTTATTTATAATTACTACAATAATATTTATATACGTTACGCATCGCGATATGTTACGCATCGCTCGTCGTTTGGTTAGTAACGCTGCGACCATTGCGAGCGTTAACTGGAATGCAGCCTGCGTCCGCCATTTTTCATCCAACTAGAATTAGAACTAGAACGTTGACTAGTCTCTTATATTTAGGGTCTCTAGAGATAACATGCACTATGGCGTCACCTACGTAGCGAGCTTAACATACGTACTTGTAGTATTGCCAACCTATAGAAACACAGATCTTTAGCATTAGAATTAAAATTATGTACATAATGGAAATTCGGAATTATTATTATGTCCCGACATAATAAGAATACCGGAATTAATATTATGTCACGACATAATAATAATTCCAACATTCTTATTATGTCGTGACATAATACTAATTCCGGTATTCTTATTATGTCGGGACATAATAATAATTCCGAATTTCCATTATGTACATAATAGGAAATTGGGATTTATTATTATGTACGTAATAGACATTTGGAATTATTATTATGTCGCAGCATAATAAGAATTCGGAAAGTATTTGACATAATAATAATTCAGTGTATTCTTATTTAAGTTGTTCTTCTTTATACGTTGCATAAAAGAATATGCAACATACTTCGAGTCTGTTAAAAAAATTATGTGAATAAATCTTTTAAAGTAATATTACTATTCCTGCAATGTATTTCGCTTCACATTATTTCGTAACATTAGCTCATGGAAATATTCAACCTAAAATAAAATAACATGTGTCATAATAAAAATTGGTACATTGAAATTGTGACATCAATTTAATGTAGATCGTGTAAAAATGTATTCTATTTTATACATGTTACAAATGCACATGTTTAACGCGTTTCGTTAAAATTGTGTTCACATTTTTAATACCTAGCAAAAATATTTTTATTATGTTGGGACATAATAAAAATGCATTATTTTTATGCTGTGACATAAGAATGACTTAATTTTCTTTATGGAGCATCTAATTGACTACGTTGCAGTTGATCACAAATTGCTCTGATTGGTTTATTCTAGTAACTAACCAAAATTTTACTGTTAATTTTGGAAACTTTACTGTGATTGGTAATTTTTTAAACTGAGGTGTGGTCAACTGTGAATTATTTTTCTACTTGTGTTGGGTAGAATTAAAATTATGTCCCGACATAATTTTAAATACATCTTATTATATCGAGACATAATAGTAATGTTTCCAAACTAATTCTTCTTTCGTTTTAAACCGGAGAAATCATTTTTATTTTACTTTACAAATGCATGCCATTAAAAAGTAAAACGGCGTGCCATATTTGATACAGGCGGAGTCAGCGAGTAACGGTAGGCAAGCGCGCGCGGCGAGGGGCAACGTAAACAACAAGAGGCGAACGCGCGCGACGAGGAGCGAGCGAGCGCAACAAAGAGCGAGCGAGCGCGAACGACGAGGAGCAAACGAGCTATAAGGAGAAAGCTATAAAGAAAAAACTCGCTCGCTCCTCGTCGCGCGCGATCGCCTCTTGTCGCTTACGTTGCCCCTCTCCGCACGCGCTTGCCTACAACTACTCACTAACTCCGCCTGTATCAAATGTCTACGTGCTTACTGCGACCGCCCTCCGCTCTCTACGTGCTCGTTGACTCACATGTTTTAATTAATAACTCGGTAACTATTGCCAATTTTACATTATGGTACGTGACTTTTCTTCTCGGCTACACCCAATCTATCTCCAACTTTCGTCTGCATGATCAGCTATCAAACAACCTGTAAAATATGTTACCTGGGTTAGCATATTTTTATTCTCAGTACACTTGTTACCTTAAATTCACGAGGGATTGCAATTTGTCTTCTTCTTTCGGGCATATATGGAATTAGATCTTGACATATTTGCATTGCTGCCTCTCGATATAACTTACAAATATATTCAATAATATATTACCATATAACATATATTAAAATACGTATACAGGGTGTCCGGAATATGATCATCAATATTTTGTGTACTGGTAGAACCAGAACTCGTTAAAACAATTAAGAAAGTCCTGTGCCATTTTACAATTTTTTCAATATTTATTCTGTAATTAATTAAAATGTGTAAACGAATGAGCGCACAAGAAAGCGACAGGACGGGCTCTGTGTATAAGAAGATGGCTTACCTCGCGCGGCGAGAGGCAACCGTAAGCGACTAGAGGCGTGCGCGCGCGACGAGGAGTGAGCGAGCGCGAACGACGAGCGAGCGAGCGCAAGCGACAAAAGGCGGCCGCGCAGCGCTCTCTACGCGCTCATTGGCTCATATGTTTCAATTAATAACTCGATAACTATTGTCAATTTGACATTATGGTACATTACTTTTCCTCTCGGCTACACTCAATCTACCAATACACAAAATATTAATGATCACATTCCGGACACCTTGTATATGTATGTGTGCTTAATAATAAAATTATAGTATATAAATTTATAGAAATAATAAAATAAATTACAATAATATAATAATTATTATTATTACCTATATAATACTTGGAATTGTTTTTCTGCGATATCGAATGGATCTTGAATATTCCTTAAAATTTTACGCATAATACGAAGTGTATTATCGTTTCTCTCGTTTTCCCCTGGCGGAAAAACTTTAACAAAAAACTACAATAAAATAAAAATAAAATTTTTACTAAAATACAAATTTTTACTAAAAATAGAAATCTGTAGAAATATGTATATAGATGTAAATATTTGTAGATAAATTTGTTTTTTTTGTAGAATTTTGTACAAAATAATACCACAAATTACAATATTCTATAACCTAGAAATCATTGCAAGTAATATTTTATAAAAATCTACAATTTTATAGAAGCAATTACAAAAATCTACAAATTTAAAAAATTGAAAAACAATAGAGTCTGTAGAAATAAAAATACTTTCTGCAGAATATTATAAATATTTAGAAATATCTATGCACATCTACAAAAGTTTTCATATCGTAAAACTATGTAATTTTAAATCCAATGCAGTGTTTAGTTTCCCATAAAATACAACAATTTTTTACATATAATTACAAATACCGATTTATTTTTACGGCTGTATAATGTATTACAATTACTGCTAATTAAAATTTGTACTTTTCACTAAAATAGTATAAATTTGTACACAATTTATTAAAAATTATTTATTATTAATGTTATTCATTTAATTGAAGAAGTTATTAATATTGAATAAATGTTGGTAGATTTGTGTACAAAGTTATATATTTAACTAAAAATAATTGTTTTATCATTTTTAATTGTTTTGGGGTGGAAAAGGGTAATTGAAAATATTATAATTATTTGTAACAATATGTAAATCAATTAATGTTTTTACCAAAATCTTCACAGTACAGTATACTATTTTTCGTAAACATGGATTGTTGTACACAAAAAGTAGTATACTGCATTGTAACAATTTTTATGAAAACATCTATTCAAGTATATATTGTTGAAAATACAATATAAACTACGCGTTTTCACAAAACATACAAAAAATTTACACAACTGTTTCCATTGTAACATTTCCTTATTTATACAACACTTATTTCGACATACAAATACGTAGAACATCGCTAATAATAGTAATTTGACATAATTTTGCCCCGTAATTTGTAGATCAAGTCGTAGCAATGTAATTATAAGTTTCGACTGAAAACTACGAAAATCTACAAAATTCTAATTCTAGCATTTCATTGTAGTATACTGTATTTTTATGGACATAGAAATTTGTAGAATATCAGTATTTTTTGTAGTTTGACGTAGTTTTGCTGAGAATTTCATAAATCAAGTATATAATAGAAAAGTACAACAAATTATAAAAGTGTTCCAATTCTAGCATTTTATGTAGATTTTTGTAGCACATTGTAAATTCAAGTAGATTTTTTTAAGCACTTTGTAAATTTATGTAGAATTTCATAGATTCTGATCTTATTTTTGGTCGTTTTTGTATTTTATTTTTATTTTTTATACAAATTTGTAAAATTTTTTTCCGCCAAGGTTTTTTGGAAATGTTACAATATTTGCAGATAAAGACAATGGATCTTCAGCATACGCATGTGTATGTCTCAATGACATCTGAATGCTTATTAACATAATCTAAAATACCAATAATAAGACATTAGAACATCAAACCTGTCTTTTATATTAATACATTTTGTATTATAATAAAAACAATAGTTAAAAATGACAAATAAATTTTCAAAAACAAACCTTCAGTAAAAACTGCCTGATTTTCGTTACACATACTCGGTGTAGATAAAGAGCAACTTGATATGGAAGTTGAAGGACAGTCCATCACAGTATTATCACATAATACAGTTTCAGGTACTGTTGTTGTTGCGAGTTTTTTTTTATAGGCTGCATTCAGCAAACTCAACAGTTAGGCTGCGTTCGGAAATCTCACCCTACGGGTAGAGCCGGGTGAATGGTGGTGGGAGCAGGGTACACCCTATGTGCGAATGGTTTCCGAACGGCACTGAAACGTATATAGTTATGATTTGGTGGGAAGAAAGGTGAAGAGAACTAGTTTAAATTAGTGCCGGCAGTTCAGCAATAGAAAAATGGCGAATAAAAATATTATTTCATGTGTTACGGCTGTTGGACAGTATTTTTATTATTTTTCTAATAATAAAGGAAAAAATAAAAGCAGAAGATGCTTATAATTTGACACAAAGTTTTAAATACAATCACAGTACAATAAGTAAATAACTAAACATCTCGTATAAAAGAACATTAAATATTCTTAAATTATACGTTAATATCACAAATACAATATTGAGCGAACCTTATATAAAACTATATTTTTTCCCTCTTTCACATATTTGCGAAAAAAATAAACATGCATTCTTAACTCTTTGGATTTAACTTTTGAAATATTAAATTTTACTCTATTAAAAAAATATATTATAATCTTTAGTGAAAATATTGTGAAAATATTAAATCTTATAAGGAAGCCACATATGAGACTAGGGGATAGTCTACAACACGATCACAATTACTTTTTAAACTTGTAAACTTTTTAAACTAATCTGTAAATCGATCATGCATTAAATTGACGATTTCATTAAAACTTCATTTTTCACAAATTTACGCGAAAGAAATAAGTACATAATCGATAACAGACTAATGCTACGACTTTATATGTAACTATGATTACATTGTAGATGACTTTTAAAGATAAAAATTTGATCTTACATAAATAATATTCGTGTAGATTTCTATTATGTAATTTCTATTAGCAGATCTTGGACATGAACTTAGCTGTTCTAGTTAACTAATAATTTCTATAATATAATCATTACTAGGATGTGGTTATCACAGATCTTCTTTAAAATAAACTTCATATTTAAAATTTTCTTATTGGGCAAAATGCTAACAAAACAAATACAATGACAGTCTATACATACATATTAGTTTTTATAACTTGTCAATGAGTTTTTTCATCATTTCCTTGTATGCATTAATTGCTCGATCAGATGCTGCTATCATCTCCTTATGGCATTGCTCCCTCACTTCTTCCCTATATTTAGCATCTTCACGTAAAGTAGCAGACCATTCACCCAGCTCTCTCTGAAGTCTTGTTTTTCTTACTTTCTTTTTTCTATCACTGTCATCTTTACTATTTTCCATGTCACTGTCTTCAGATGTAAAAGTTAATGGTCGCTTCTTCAAACTGGAGGCCAAAGCTACAGGTTGCATACATGGTTTATCTCCTAATATTTCTTCAAATTCATTGAAAAATTTACTAGTCATTGGGCTATTGCCTGATTGCTTATTGTGATCTTTCACTTTCACATATTTCTTGCGCAATTCTTTGAATTTGTTTTCACATTGTATACCAGTGTACAACCATTGACTGTTCTCATTTTGAAGAACACTGGCAATTTTTTTCCACACTTCTGATGACTTGCATTTTCCACTTTTAAAATTATTTTCATATTCCTTCCAGGCATAAATCAATCGCCTTACGGCGTTATCATCTTTCCAAGATGCTGTAACATTGCAAAAATAGACATTTCAATTTTCATGATAAATATTTCAGAATTATGCCATTATCAGAAGCAAAAAAATAGCATGATAAAATTGTATACCATGCTGGGTTGATGACTGAGTACTTATAGATCCAATATTAGGCTCAAAATTAAAGTTCTCAGGTTCATTATTGTCTGTAATTACTTGCAAGTTGAAAAACGTTAGAGACTCCTCCGAAACAGGTATTGTGATTATATTTCCTTCTGTGAAAAGGAAAGCTCTTATAAGTATTTAATTAATGAATTACAAATTAATGTTTATAAAATAAATAAGGCTATACATGCTTTCGCTATGTAAATATATGTAACTTTTTATTTTATATTGCTACTTTTGAAAATGAAAAGGCAGAAAGTATATCGGAAGAAGTCTAAATTTATCACTCACTTGTTACATCACATACTAGCAAAGATCCTTGAGAGTCGTATATGGGTTGATTATTTTTATCAGTTCATAATATATGTTTTCCACGTATTAATTTCACGTTTTCCATTGTTGATTAATAGCGTTTACCATTTCATTAATCTCTATGTATCTCTATGGACATTCACACGTTATAACGCCATTTAATCTGTTTCTTTTAGCTGTATTGTTCAACTAGTGCAATAAGATAAATAAGAAAAAAATAGATTTGTCTCCTAATATTGTACTAGTTCAGCATTGCATCTAAAAAGAACAGATCAATGTATATCCAGTGAGAAATGATTGATCGAAAAATCATCAAATTCATATCGATTTGCTCAAGCATCAATTTCAGTGACAAATTTTCATTGAATTGACGTCCATGTGAAATTGATGATTTTTCGATTAATCATTCCTTACTGGATATTTTCAGTATACTTGCGCGCATTTCTAACCTAACCGAATTTGATCGAGTTACAAATAAAAACACTATTTAAAAATACCGCCAAATGCATGAAGTTACCCGAATCTACCCTGAAATTCCAGGGTGGAAAATGTGTTACCCGAAGTGCACCTAATAGAGTTTTCGAACGACTCCACCGTTGTTACTTGGGTGTAAAGCCAGCGGCACACGGTGCTTGTTTTCGTGCTGGATTGCTTGCTGGATGAAAATACTGCGTTCTGATTGGTGCATTTCCGAAGATGGATGGAAATGCACCAATCAGAACGCAGTATTTTCATCCAGCAAGCAATCCAGCACGAAAACAAGCACCGTGTGCCGCTGGCTTAACACAAATGTTTCCGAACGACACAGGATGCACTTGAGTGCACTTGGGTGGGATTTCCGAACGCAGCCTTAGACAACATTACTAGATTTTCTACTGAATCTCGCTCCTGATAGGTAAATACTTCTAAGTCTATGAAGAATCTAAAAGAATGCTCCAATCACAGACAATAATCACTAAGCGCTCTCTGATCACTTTGTTCTACTGAACGCGGCCATAATTAGATGTAGTACTAAATATAAGAACGAGAAAATCAATATATATTTCAGTACAATTTAAAACTAGAGGAACTAGAGGAAGGTAATTAGCACTCACTTTCGATGTTTTATTATATCAACTAAAAATATTATATAGTCATAAAGATCCCATTTAGGAATATATGTTAAGCCAGCGTCATACAGTGCTTGTTTTCGTGCTGGATTGCTTGCTGGATGAAAATACTGCGTTCTGATTGGTGCATTTCCATCCATCTTCAGAAATGTACCAATCAGAATGCAGTATTTTCATCCAACAAGCAATTCAGCTCGAAAACAAGCACCGTGTGCCACTGGCTTTAGAGCCATTTATTGAACCAGAATATAGAGGCGCTGCAAAATAATAATCGAAGCAGTGACTGCACTAAATCATAGGCACGACTGTTTTCAGGGGTTTCTCTCTAATATAGCTATATATTCCAGTATATAAACAAAATTGTTTATGTAGTAACGGCCAATAATATATAATGTTAAATAAAAATTACATGGTATAATAGTGTTAATTAGATACAAATAGCACTTTTCTCAATATGTAAATTCTAATAACTAGAACAGTTACAACATAAAATTATCAAAAAGATGAGAGTGACAACATTAAAGGGGATCTTTCCGGATCCTGGTAAGTAATATTTTTGTATGTATATATGTGTGTATGTATGTGTATATTTTTTTATTTTACAATTATAAAAACAAATTTTAGAATATGATAAAAGATCACAAATAATATTTAAAATATTTTATACAATTATACATTATTGCTAGAACCGCTTAGAAAGAAAAATTTCATTCACGAGAATGTGAAAAATCTCCGACGAATGGAACGATGCTTTCAAGCTAATAAAGATGTGGAGGAGTTGCACAAACTACAAATACATAAAACAGTTGATAAATACCAGAATATATCTGCAAAGGTAATCACCAATTTGCGAGAAAAAAAGAAGCATCAAAATGATAATACTGATACAATATTGAAGAATAATATAAATCTGGTATTAACTGATAAAATAGAGAATAAAGAACAAAAGTCTCAGGATAAGATTGATATACTTGAACCAAATATAAAGCACGTTGTTGCTTCCAAAAAGATTATTACTACAGGAATAAATGGTAAAATATCTGGCAAACAAAGAAAACAAGGACAAACAAGTAAATACAATGAAAAGTATAGTCAACAGAAAGTGCAGCCAAAAATTTTATTTGAACCAAATGTTATGCATAAATTTGATAATGCTGTAAATAATATAAATATACAGAATATTATTAAATATAAAAGTCAGGGAATCCAAACTTTGGATATAGACCAGATAGAAAGTATATATGCTGAAGGTATCATTCGGTAAGCAATTATTAAGCATCCCATAACTATTTAAAAAGTGATATAAAAAATAGATAAATATAAATTCTTTGTATAAAATCCTTAATATGAAAATTTTATATTAAATAAAATAATTGAATACAAATTCTTTGATAAATATAAAATCTTCAATAAATATATTTTCATTTTCCATTTCTTTTTCTATCTTTATTTAAATAATTTGATAATTTCATTTCTGCTCTCCTGATTTATATTGTCTTTAATTTATTTCTTGTACAATGCAAATTTCAAAATTGGTTTATATTGTCTTGATTTATTTTATAAACTTTTATAAACATTAATGGAACATGTAATATATAACATCCACAACAATGAAATAGATTATACTTTATCTCAATTAAATTTTTGTCAACAGATACCCTTCAGAGAAAATTACAAAGCATGATGGTACAGTTAATGATGCCAACTTGAATCAACAAAAGGAGAAAGCTTTAAAATTACAATCCAATTTTCCTGCAGACAGGGGCGATATGCATATTTCTGAAGATTTGCGAAAGCTTGATTTACGAAATGCTGCATCACCGATACATAGAGGAAAAGATTTCATCAAGTTAAATAAAGAAAATACTTCTGTGGCTAATAAGCTAGCAATGCAGCTTAATAGTGACTCACCACTGAAACATTACCGCAAAGGAGTTGTGCCTAAGTACGAGATAACAAGTACAAGCAAATTTTCGACTAATCAAAGACTGTGCAATGCAAATTTCATTTGAATTTCACACTTTTTAAATCTTTCATACTCAATGTATTTCAGCTACTAATATCAAAATTAAAGTTATGTGATATATTATAAATGGAACAAACAAAAGTTCTTTTCTGCTCTACAATGAATATGTTTTGCTTAATGTTTTTTGACATTAAATTCTTCAAATTTTGAAGTTCAAATATTTCCATTTCGAACAACTTGAGCATATAATTGAATTTGTTAAAACACTTAAAATATTTTTATAATTCTTTGAACAGATATCTTCGAGAAAAAAAGGAAATTCAACAAAAAGAACAAGAAGCCAAGATAGAAGTATCATATCCTGATTGTCCAAAAGGTCACGTACCTTTACCAGATCATGAACGCAAGGAGACGTTGCAGTTATTAAAAAAAAGTTTGTATCTCATAAATGAAATTTAATATTCATACTTTTTCCTAATAATAAAGATTAATAATATTTATCGAATTAATCTCGTTATATTTTTCAATGTAGATTATCAAGAATATGTCAATAAGTTAAACCTGATGCCTATAAAAGCAGACACACTCAGAGCGCAGAGGCACAAAATGGAAATAGAAAAACAATTGAATAAATTAGAAGAAGGGATTAAAGTATTTTCGCGTCCTAAAGTTTATGTGAAAATAAATGCATAAATTATGTCACTTATATAATCATAACGTAACATATACAGGGATTATTGCCTCTTATCCCTCCATGTCACGAACTATCGTGTACTATTTTAAAGGTCCAATGTAGTGAATATGACAGTATTATTTTATCACAAGATGTAAAATGACAGAAAAAGTTGGTTATATATATATTTCACACATATATGGAAAATTAAACTTGAAGATAAATTATATTTAGTGTTTAAAGAGTTTGTAAACAAAAGAAATATAACATTTTCTGATAACATATTTTTTGTTTTTGCTAATATCTTTACAGAAATATAAACTTTTTTAATTGATAAAGATTATAATTTATTATGAACTTTATAAATTTAATAATTATAAGTTATTCAATATAAATTTATTAAATCATATAATCTATTAATAATTTAATAAAATAAATAACTTTATTAAATGATTTATAAGTGATGAATTTTCAGGCGGATATAGTAAATAAGATTTTATTTAAATTAATTAAACAATGAGACAAATGATAAGAGAATGCAAATGATATTCATAATTATTTTATAACTAGCTCATTTTGTATATCCATATAGCTTTTGTCAATAGTATGCACAAATGATATTGGATCAAAATGCAATCTCTCTAAGTTATAAAATAACTCTTCATTGTCGTACCAGTCCTTTATGTTAAAGTCTTTAAAAAATACATTTATTTCTTTTTTTGCAGATTCTGTTGAATCTAGAATGAAAATAATATATATTTTATTACTCTGAATAAAAGATAAATCATTTGGTTGGACATTATTTAAAATTAATAACTCTAAAAAATCTAACTTCAGTCAACTATAATGTTGTATAATCTAAATATATGTATAGACACTATATATGTATAGATATGTATATTTGATATTTCCAAGATATTAGAAAACTTCAGGAACATACTTTTGAATTTAAACAATATTCAAAGTAATTTTCATATTTGTATGGCCAAATTATTCAGAAGCTTATAAAACTAAGATTTGATTTAATTTATTATTATAGATAAAGAAATATTACCAGACCCATGAGTGGCATTTCTAGTATCTGACAATCCAAACATTCCTCTAATAGTATCTGGCGCAATATATTGTGCTTGATAAACCTTAGTAGGGCCCATCAAATGCCGCCACTTAGCAATAGCGTCGTGTCCTGCTAAAATGTGTATGTCAGATGGCCCACTACATATGAACGAAAGAAGGCGATTATAGAAAAATCTATGTTTGTGTTCTTTGTAAAACAATTCGGCCTCCTCATAAGAGATAGTCGTTCTGCGCGATCTAACAACTTTGAAGTCATTATCGATTATTAAGTCGCGAATTTTCTGAAAAATCAGAATAAACATCAATCATGATCATTCTCAAAATGTATTTCGATTCATTTTTTACTAGACATTAATAAATTAAATGGTTCGTTAACCTCCTTCATCTATATTTTATTTCTGCTAAATAAAATTAACTTCATACCTGAAGAACAAAAGGAGATTTAACAACATGCGGTTTGAGTATAGCCAGTGTTAATTGGAGGTATTTTCTCGATTGCATGTCAACATCCTTTAAATATCTGTCAGTTTAAAGAATGGCGGGACAAATATAAACAAATTTTTATATATCAGAGATCGTTTCTCAGCTATGACACACTAAACTAAAGCCAGCGACACACGGTGCTTGTTTTCGTGCTGGATTGCTTGCTGGATGAAAATGCTGCGTTCTGATTGGTATATTTCCGAAGATGGATGGAAATGCACCAATCAGAACGCAGTATTTTCATCCAGCAAGCAATCCAACACGAAAACAAGCACCGTGTGCCGCTGGCTTTAGATACGTTTTGGGCATCAATCATGAGGTGCGTTCCGCTTCACCCATATGCGTGCATTTATCTATAGTTCATGTCACGTATACTATAAAAAATGCGCGCATATACGTGAAACGGAACGCATCCATGAATCTTTTCACCTGAGTTCGATTTTACTATCGATATATAACTTTTTTCCCTAGCATGAAATCGTGAAAAGTGAACAATTTCTCAATATTTGTAATAATTATAATAATAATTGTAATAATAATTATTATAAACTTGCTTTATTTAATGCACATCTGTATTTATGCTGCATAATACTGTTGTAATTTTTTCTTAGTATATTTAACGCAAAATTTTTAATCATATCAGAGAGAAGCCTGAGAGCGGGCATGGCTGCATTTACAGCGTTATGGAAAAGTTGGCTGATTCGCAGCGCCAACTGGGTCCATTTTTCATGGACATGAACTAAGCCATACTAAGACATACTAAGCCAATGTCCACGATTTGTCGGTACTATTCCGTGCTATGTCCATAATTATTTGGTTCTGTTCTGTGCTATGTTCACGAGCGAGCTAGATTACTTAGATAAAAACGAAGAATCGGTCTTCGTCTCACCACCAGCGAATAGACAATCGCGACGAAGCGAGCCAGCAGCGATGTTATCGTAAGGCAGACGTCGCCCCTTTCACCCCCTTGTTTTCCTTTCCACATTGTTTTATATTCATAATTCGGGAAGAAAATAATTTCGAGAGTTCGGACGATTTCTAGCAATGACGCGACAGAGATAACGCGCGGCCACATTAATTTGTCATGACTTTTATATTACTTACAATTACATAAACGCCCATATGTGCAAATTATAGATAATTATTGCGCGTATGTTTTAATATTGTACAATATGGCATATAATAACAACTTCATTTCTTGCAGTATTTTTTTAAGATCTTCGTTGAGATCGTGAATTAATTATTTTCTTCATCAATCAGTTTTCTGCAAAAATTACGACTTTTTAAATAAAATATTGTTGTGCCCGCGCGTGAAAGAAATAACTCGGGATAAACTAAACGAGAAAAGCTTTATTTACAGCCAAGAAAAACGGATCTTAATCAATCTCAAAATAATCGCACGAATTCGCTTTACGTCCGTACGCTGTGACAGGACTAGAGCGACTCTCTACTCTAGTTGTTAGTAAACAAACTCCTTGACAACGATAACAGCTGTCAAACATTCTCTATATGCCTTCTTCACAGTCTTCTCCCAAGAGCGTGGGAACAATACGTTCCCCAAAGTTGTGGGCACAACAATATAAAACGTTTCTCTTCTCTTCTCTCCGAAGAGTTAATTAAAACATATGTACTCCACAGAGTCAACTAACAAATGTGTAGTCAGAAGAGTCAATTTAAAAGTGTACTCCGAAAAGTCAATTTAATAGCGTATTCCGAAGAGTCAATTTTAAAGCGTACTCTGAAAAATCTAATTAATATTATAATCCGAAAAGTCAATTTATAATAGAATATTTACTTCGATGATTCAGCTAAAGAAAAAAACATTTACTTATTATTATATTCAGAGAATAACATTTAATTTATTATTTATACTTATCTTACTTATGCTTACCCTACATATGCTTCTTTGAATGAAAAATTTAATTTGTTGACTGATTCAGATTCAGATTTGTTAAAATATCTCTTATGCGCAACTCTTGAACAGGTAGGTAGTAAAATAACTTTTTTTCTTTACGAATTTTATAAACTTTTCACGAACATAAAAATTGAAAGATTCTCAGAGAACAAATAACTTTTCTTGAACATTTAAATCAAAGGAAAATCTTTTCCCATTAATAAAGAATGAATAATTAATATCTCACACGAGAGGAATCTTCATCCTTGAAATAACCGCGTGATTTTGCTTTTAGAAAAGTATAATATTGATGTAATAGTAACAAATGCTACCCAATAATGGTGCAAATCTTAAACGTTTTTGAGAAATGCAGTTTGAAGTTTAGTCTCTTCTGTTAATGTTGTTATAGCAGAAGAATTACCAATTTGCTTCAGTAGCGCAGATCAGACTTTGTGATATGAGCGTAGAGGTTGTTCAAGTGTGTTATTTTTACTATCACAGGGAGAACTATGTAGAATGTATAATAATACGCAGACAAATTCTTTACATAATCATACTTATTTCTTTTAGCATGAATAAAAATGATCAATGCTAACGTGATAAGTGTATATCGCAATTGTACGTGTACGCAATTGTACACATACACACACACACGTTCACACGTATACCAATGACGTCAAAACCGAACAATTCGTGAAAATCTTTTATTGATCGCAATTGTATGCAAAGACGAAAGAGAAGTACACGGGTCTCCGTGGATATCTCGTCATATTGATTGTCTATGAGCTGATAAACAATTGATCTCCGATATTTACAAGTTACGCTTGTCCGCAGCTTGTTCGGTTTTGATATCATTGGTATCAGTGATGCGAATTTGGTGACGGGCTTGCACGAGGATTCTCCTCCCCCTCCCTTATACGCACACAGCCAGCTCGGTCAATCCGCGTGAGCCACGCGATCGGCAATTGTCGACGCGCCGAGCGAGCGAGAGAGAGAGAGAGAGAATATCATTCCCTCCTTGTCGCTCTCGTTCTCGCTCAGCGAGCGAGCCTAATTCTTTCTTACCCATAATCTGAATCGCGGGCGCGACTGTCTCTCTCTCCTTTCCTCTCTATGACAATACTGAAAAGTTTTGTCTACTCGGCGCACCGAAATTATTACAAATAATATTTTATTATTAATAATATTATTATTTGTAATATATATTATTTGTAATATTATTATTTGTAATTTTATTTGTAATTGTATAATAATGTTACAAATAATACAAATTTTTACAAATTTTATTTGTAAAAGTTTATATCATTCGTAATATTACTTGTAATAGTATTAATAATATTCGGCGCCAAGAAAATGAAATATATTTTATTAATTATTTTGCGGAGTTGGGCAGGTTCACAGGTTTGATTATTGAATTGTTTAATAATATTTTAAGAATAATTTTAAGTTATACAAGGATGTAGTATGAAATATAAAAGAATATTGTAACAGAATCAAGAAGTACGAAATGAAACCTCTTTGCTTTTATTACAATACCCTGTAAGTTAATAAATATTTTTCATACAGTATTAAATAATCTCCAAAAACAATTACATCCGTGAAATTTTCTATCTGCGCAAAAAAAATTCATAAAATATATTTGTTTCGTCGCTCTAAATGAGAAAACTCTCAGAACAATGTTATAGTTGTTCAATGCACTACTCAATAAAAATATAATAATACCATGTTTGTATGTGTGAAGAATATTCGCTAACTTACAGGATATTGTAATAAAAGCAAGGAGGTTTTATTTCGTACTTCTAAGGCCAAGACTTATTAACGGCTAAAGACATATTCGAATTGATCTTGCCTTAATTGGTCGGATCAGTGATCGGTCTTGCCTTAAGTTCCAAGCCTCATAACTCGGAAAGTACTCGATGAAATGTAACTTTGTTAGAGTGTTTTGGAATGCTCTCGAGATAAGCTACAAGAATATGTAATAAAAAATCGTAGTTTCTATTTAAAAAAACATTAATGACCTTGGCCTGATTTTGACAAGGTCACTTCACTCAAGGTTGACCTTGAGTGGAGGAGTCAAGGCGAGGTCAATGCCAACATGATTTTTTTTAATGGAATATCCTACTTTTTATCACACAGTGTTAAAGATGACAGCGAGACGTTTCCGAAATACTACTTGATGATCTATTTTTGTTGAGAATTGTCTGAGTTATGAGCTTTAGAATTTACGGTGCCGCCAGCATTAGTATTATTCAGGATGTACCACGTGGAGGTCGCATGATCGAACTTTACATCTCCCCCCTGTGTATGTGTGTGTGTATGCGTGTGTATGTGTCAGCAGAGATAAGGACTATGCAGTAGTTGTGCGTCAATTTTTAACTGATACTTTCCCAAACCGATGGATAACAAGATGTGAGAAATAGAGTGGCCTCTAGATCACCAGATCTTTCTCCATTAGACTACTTCTTATGGGGATATGTTAAAAACAATGTGTACGGAATGAAACCTGCTAACTTGGCAGACCTTAGGGAACACATACTGCACCAAGTAAATCTTATTTCACCAGAAATGAGACGAAACGTTTTAAATGAATTTCATCTACGATAAGGTTATTGTCAAGCAGCAGACGGAAGACAATTGAATACTTCATTCAATAAAAAGTCTAATAACACGCGCGCGCGCATACCCACATCACATACACATAGCAGAGTTTGGAGTCATTAAAGCGGTAATGACGAACCGCGAAGGGACGAACCTTATTTTTGCTGACACATACACACGCATACACACACACATACACAGGGGTGAGATGTAAAGTTCGATCATGCGACCTCCACGTGGTACATCCTGAATAATACTAATGCTGGCGGCACCGTAAATTCTAAAGCTCATAACTCAGACAATTCTCAACAAAAATAGGTCATCAAGTAGTATTTCGGAAACGTCTCGCTGTCATCTTTAACACTGTGTGATAAAAAGTAGGATATTCCATTAAAAAAAATCATGTTGGCATTGACCTCGCCTTGACTCCTCCACTCAAGGTCAACCTTGAGTGAAGTGACCTTGTCAAAATCAGGCCAAGGTCATTAATGTTTTTTTAAATAGAAACTACGATTTTTTATTACATATTCTTGTAGCTTATCTCGAGAGCATTCCAAAACACTCTAACAAAGTTACATTTCATCGAGTACTTTCCGAGTTATGAGGCTTGGAACTTAAGGCAAGACCGATCACTGATCCGACCAA